GCCCCCCCCCAATCCCCTGTGTGTTTTGGAATTGGACTTGTAATACTCCATCCATCTGAAGAAGTGGGTTGTGCCCACGAAAGCTCATCGACGTGTTTTGTTAGCTGCTAAGGTGCTACAGGGCTAGTTGTTGTTTTTAGAATGTGGCGTGAGCCCTGGACCCAGTGTTTCCTGTAAGCTGTGTACTTGTGGGGCCACTCAGAAGAGACTCGGTGCTGCCCTGCTGATTAGCAAAGTGCCCACAGCTAGTTTTTTCGTTTCTGTGGTGGGTGCACGTTTGCACATGCCTCGGGGCACACACATTTGTTCCACACACAGATGGAAAAAATCCATCCGTGTCCCTAGAAGACTTTCCTGTCCTAGTGTTGCCGGGAATGTTATGAATGGGTGGATCCAGCTGTTCCCCTCCCATTTCAAAGCTGGATGCTTTTTGGTGACTCGGTATGTGGGTTAACGACTCGCCTTGTTTGGAGATCCTGTGGGACGAAAGGACTAGCACAGTGCAACGTGAGGATGACGGTACTGAAGACAGCTGGGTTGGTCACTGATTGGCAGGTTTATCCGATCAAGTCACAGGGTTGTTGGAGTGCAGGTGTCTACCAACAGGGGTGTCTGCTCTGGGTGGAGCTGGTCCTGGGACAGAGGGTGAGGGGAAACACGCGTACACGGGAATAGCTTAAGTAGTAGTTCTGCAGAAAAGGACCTGGGGGTTACAGTGGATGAGAAGCTAGATATGAGTCAACAGTGTGCCCTTGTAGCCAAGAAGGCTAATGGCATATTAGGATGCATTAAGAGGAGCATTGCCAGCAGATCCAGAGATGTCATTATTCCCCTTTATTCGGCTTTGGTGAGGCCGCATCTGGAGTACTGTGTCCAGTTCTGGGCCCCCCACTACAAAAAGGATGCGGACGCATTGGAGAGGGTCCAGCGGAGGGCAACCAAAATGATTAGGGGTCTGGAGCATATGACCTACGAGGAGAGGCTGAGGGACTTGGGTCTGTTTAGTCTGCAGAAGCGAAGAGTGAGGGGGGATTTGATAGCAGCCTTCAACTTCCTGAAGGGAGGTTCCAAAGAGGATGGAGAGAGGCTGTTCTCAGTAGTGACAGATGGCAGAACAAGGAGCAATGGGCTCAAGTTGTGGTGGGAGAGGTCCAGATTGGATATTAGGAAAAACTATTTTACTAGGAGGGTAGTGAAGCACTGGGATGGGTTACCTAGGGAAGTAGTGGAGTCTCCATCCCTAGAGGTGTTTAAGTCTCGGCTTGACAAAGCCCTGGCCGGGTTGATTTAGATGGGATTGGTCCTGCCTAGAGCGGAGGGCTGGACTTGACGACCTTCTGAGGTCTCTTCCAGTTCTGATTCTATGATAAGGGGATGGTTGGATGAAATAACATGATCTTGGTAACTAATTGACCATTCATTTCCAGTTGGAAATAGGTCAATGGAGGGATGATAGGAGTTGCTATAGGGAACTTTCTGGGTGTCTGGCTGGTGAGTCTTGCCCACATGCTCAGGGTTTAGCTGATCGCCATATTTGGGGTCAGGAAGGAATTTTCCTCCAGGGTAGATTGGCAGAGGCCCTGGAGGTTTTTCGCCTTCCTCTGTAGCATTGGGCACAGATCACAGCTGAAGGACTCTCTGCATGTTGGGGCCTTCAAAGTATTGGAAGGCTTCAATATCTGAGACATAGGGGAGGATTATTCTAAGAGGGGTGGGTGAGATTCTGTGGCCTGCACTGTGCAGGGGGTCAGACTAGATGATCATAATGGTCCCTTCTGACCTTAAAGTCTATGAGTCTATGAGCTGTTTCCCAAAGAAGGTAAACAGCCAGAGCTGGGTGCCATTTCACAAAGACACCTTCATGTATGCTTACTGGAAACATGCTAATCCTAGATGTCACACTTGTTTAATATTGTGGCGATAAATGAAAAGCCAACACTGATCTCACTAGAGTGAGGACTCTGCGTGTGCAGAGCAGGATGTTTACACTGACAGGCTATATGGATTTTTTTCTTGGCATTTTACCCAGCTCTGCTGTAGGGCCCAGTGCTCTGTTGCCATCTTGCAGAACTCCCACCAGAAATGTGTCTCTCCTCTAGCAGATAACTTCAGTGAGCCCCCTCTGCAGTGCTGGTCACGTGCTCTCTGCAGCTCACCCCTTTCCTTGTGAGACTGAGGGAATCTACAAATCTAGACTACCCCTGGGAGCTAGATCAACGCACCTGCTACAAAACATGCCTCTAACCGAGGTCCTGCAGTACCTACGGATCTAAAAATGCTTGTAGATCACCCTAAACTACCCCTATAGAATCCTAGAACTGGCAGGGACCTCGAAGTCATCAAGTCCAGTCCCCTGCCCTCGCGGCAGAACCAAGCACTGTCTAGATCATCCCTGGCAGGTGTCTGTCCACCCTGCTCTTCAATATCTCCAGTGTTGGAGATTCCACAGCCTCCCTGGGCAATTTATTCCAGTGTTTCACCTCCCTGACAGGAAGCTTTTCCTAATGTCCAACCTCCACCTCCCTTGCTGCAATTTAAGCCCCTTGCTTCTTGTCTCTTATCCTCAGAGGCCAAGGAAAGCAATTTTCTCCCACTTCCTTGTAACACCTTTTTAGATACAGGCAGTCCTCGAGTTACGCGGATCCGACTTATGTCGGATCCGCAGTTACAAACGGGGCTTTTCTCGCCCCGGAGGACTGGAGCGGCGGGATGCCCAGATGCGCTGCAGTCCCGCCGCCCCCATCCTCCGGGGCGAGAAAAGCTGCTCCCTGTCTCTGGTCTGAAGGGAGACCGGGAGCAAAGCCGCGGAGCACGCCCAGGCGCGCCTGGCTTTGCTCCAAGGCTTTGCTCCCTGTCTCCCTGGTCTGCAGGGAGTGCTCCAAGCATGCTCCAAGGCTTTGCTGCAGGCGTGCTCCAAGGCTTTGCTCCCCGTCTCCCTGGTCAGAAGACCAGGGAGATGGAGCAAAGCTGTGGAGGACGTGGGCGGTCCTGCCACCCGTGTCTCCCTGGTCTGCTGGGGGGGGGGTGCAGCTAGTGTCCCCCTCCCCCAGCAGACCAGGCTTTTCTTGCCTACCCCTGGGGTAAAGCAGCTGGGGGCTGCCGGGTTGGTCCCGCAGCGCCGCTCTTTTTTATTTGGACCTCAAGTGTGTAGTCGGCCCCCGAACTGCTGTTTGATAGTTAATGCGGCCCTCGGGCTGAAAAGTTTGGAGACCCCTGGTCTAGACCATCCCTGATAGACATTTAATTAACCTACTCTTAAATATCTCCAGAGATGGAGATTCCACAACCTCCCTAGGCAATTTATTCCAGTGTTTAACTACCCTGACAGTTAGGAACTTTTTCCCAATGTCCAACCTAAACCTCCCTTGCCACAGTTTAAGCCCACTGCTTCTTGTCCTATCACCAGAGGCCAGGAAGAACATTTTTTCTCCCTCCTCCTTGTGACGCCCTTTTAGATACCTGAAAACTGCTCTCAATATTCTCTTTTCCAAACTAAACAAGCCCTATTTTTTCAGCCTTCCTTCATAGGTCATGTTCTCTAGACCTTTAATCATTCTTGTTGCTCTTCTCTGGACCTTCTCCAGTTTCTCCACATCTTTCTTGAAATGTGGTGCCCAGAACTGGACACAGAACTCTTAATTGAGGCCTAATCAGCACAGAGTGGAAGAATGACTCCTCGTGTCTTGCTCACAACACTCCTGTTAGTTCCTCCCAGATATTTAGCTTGTAGTTTTGCAACAGTGTCTTTAATCATTCTTGTTGCTCTTCTCTGGACCTTCTCCAGTTTCTCCACATCTTTCTTGAAATGTGGTGCCCAGAACTGGACACAGAACTCTTAATTGAGGCCTAATCAGCACAGAGTGGAAGAATGACTCCTCGTGTCTTGCTCACAACACTCCTGTTAGTTCCTCCCAGATATTTAGCTTGTAGTTTTGCAACAGTGTTAGATCCCTTTCTGCCGTACTCCTTCCTAGACAGTCGCTTCCCATTGTGTATGTGTGAGACTGATTGTTACTTCCTAAGTGCTGATTTTTATATTTCTAGATTTTCTGCAGGGACATGAGTCACTGCAGTATTTACACAGCAGGCAAACTCTTTGGTTCTTACTCATCTAACAAACCAGACAGCATTTCTAAAAATGTGCTCTGTGGAGCCCTGAGGCTCCATGTGATGGGTCCAAGGACTCCATGAGGATATATTAATACAATACAGCAGCACACACACACACACACACACACACACACACACGAACGAGAGAGACAGAATTCCAAACTGGTCTATTTGGTACCTATTGCATTTTTTTTAAGTCATGATATTCCAAAGTCTCTGCCAAGTTTTCAGGACCCTGTAGATACTCTGCAGCTAGAAAAAAAAATTGAGGAAACATTGGTCTAGACCAGGGGTCTCCAAACTTTTCTGCCCGAGGGCCGCATTAACTATCAAACAGCAGTTCGGGGGCCGACTACACACTTGAGGTCCAAATAAAAAACAATCAAAACATGGATGTTGTTTTTAATTATTTATTTAATATTATTTTATTCAGTTATTATTTAATAACACATTGATACACTACACATGAACACCTGTATTAGTGTGAATGGTGAAATTGTTTCCTGGATGCCAAAATAGCAGACATTTCTGGCTTTAGAAATCACTGTTTGAAATTGGGGGTGGTTCAATATGTTCAGCCTAAGACACTCACACTTGAAGAGATGTGATCGCTCTCCTATCATGCAGGGAATGAGGTGACAATTTGTAACATAGCCTCATGGAACAAGGGGCATGCATTTTAATGGGAAAAGCTGGTTTGAAAGCAGACACGTTATCACTGTGCCACAGCAACCAGACCGTCTCCTGCAATGGGCACCAGCTCCTCAGCCCCGCCCCCGGAGAAGTAGCCCCTCGCTCCTAGCCCCTGAGAAACCACCGTCGGGTTTCCTCCCCTCCGTCCAGCCTCCCGCGATCCTCTGCCGCCGGTTCTGATCCGGAGCCCGCCTTCGAGACCCCCCTTTTTCGCCCGCCCGGCCAAGCGGCACGCGGAGCCGTCCCTGACCTGGGCTACCTGCTGTCCCGTGCGCGCGCTGGGGCCTGCGAATCCGTTTCTCCCGCTGACACCAATGCTCGGACTCAAGCGCCTCAGGGATAATCTCGCCGGCACGCGGAAGAAGGCGGGGCCAGACAAAAAGGTCTCCACGGGCCGGATGAGAGGGCCTCGCGGGCTGCAGTTTGGAGACCCCTGATCTAAATCATTGATGAAAATATTGAACAGAGCTGATCCCAAAACAGACCCCTGTGGAACCCCACTTGTTATGCCCTTCCAGCATGGCTGTGAACCGTTAATAATGACTCTGAGTGGTTATCCAGACAGTTATGCACCCACCTTATAATAGCCCCATCTAGGTTGCATTTCCCTAGTTTATTGTTAATAAGGTCATGCGAGACCATGCCAAATGCCTTACTAAAGTCTAGGTGTATCACATCCACCACTTCCTCCTTATCCACAAGGCTCATTATCCTATTAGAGAAAGCTATCCGATTGGTTTGACGTGATATCTTCTTTACAAATCCATGCTGGTGTTACCTATCACCATATTAACTTCCAGCTGTTTGCAGCTGGAGCCCTTAATTACTTGCTCCATTATCTTCCCTGGCCTTCCTCCCATTTCTGCCATGTGCTGGGGTGTCCCCTTCCCTTGGCGGATGTGCACAGCATGCGGTTGAGTTGACACTGTCCAGCCCACCCACAATAGACTCTTGCTAGCTTGCCCTGGCTGCCTACGTCCCCTGAGGGTTGTCAGACTGTGGCTGTGGGCAGTGAAAAGCAAGGCTGGTGCTTGACCGTGTTCACTGACGCTGACCGGTGTTCACAGTACTCCACGGCGCAGAGGGAAGCAAGGCAATGCACCCTGAAGCAGCACTGCTTCCTGTCCCGGCAGAGCGGTGGGCGAGAGCCCATGTGGTGCGTGGCTGTCTTACTGCTGCCCGTAGCCTTCTGCCCGAGAGCGCGGCGGCTTCAGGCCCACTCGCGCTGACCCGTTTCTCCCCGCTAGCCGTCGCTGTGTGTGGGTGGCACTTGTTTCCCTGCTGTGGCAGTGATTCTGGGGTGAAGCCTGCGCTGATGCAGCCCGATCATGCTGTGGGAAGGGAATGGTCTTCAAGCAAAGAGGGCGCGTGTTTGCAGGCTGGGTGGAGGTTTCCGGAGCTGTGACGAGAGACCCTTGTGAGGAGCGAGGCGCTGCTTTCTGATCTACCCCTTCCTAAGTGCAGAATCCATCCCTTTGTCACACGCTCTCCTGCGCGGCCGCGGCCATGGCCCCAGCAATGTAGAAAGCAGTAGGAGCCTTGCACATGCCCTGCAGTCTGGAGAGCAAGGGGCTGACCCGTGCCGGGTTCAGCCCATACTGAGCACTTGGGTTAGTGTTTATCGCAGCATGGTTCCCCTAATCCTGCTGAGCTAGGATGGTTTTTCTGAACTCTGCTAGCCAACCCGTGCTAAAGAACAGCCCCCCTTCCAGTACATTCTCTTGGGCATTATTTCATTGTAATGACCTCAGACAAAAACCCATCAGCAACCGTCCAGGTACCGTTACCGTTTGCACCACTGTGGCGTGTAGTAGGCCTCTTCCGCTTGCAGCTTTGCTTGTGGGTCGGAGCAGCTCGGTCCGTTAATAGCAGAGGGGGGTAGACAGACGGACTGAGCACTTGGTATCCCAGCTTCCATTTGTGGGGTGTGACGTTTGAGCCCCCCACCAGCGCAGGTCCCATTCCAGAGCAGGCCGCTGGATGGCGGGGAAGTTAATCTCCCGTTCTTGTTGCAGTTGAAATCCCAGCCTCTCCACCTGAGGCTCTGCATTGCCTTCGAGCAGCCCTTTGTGAAATGTCGCGACTCGAGGAAGTTGGGTTAATGGAGATGGCAATTGGTTGATGTCAACACCTGCTTGTGCATTACGTATTCTGTTACAAATCCCACTTTGCCTGATAACCTCTTTCTCTTTTCTTTTCCCCCTTTCCCCTGGACAGGGTCA